CTCTTTTTTCCTGCCATCACGTACTCTTTCGTGGAAAATGTATTGAAATGTTTCTCAACTTGGTAAAAGCTGTTCTTTCAAATGAGTATGAAATTCGGCAGCATAATTTCAAGTTTTACAGTTTTTCCTCACGTACGTTAGCAATGAGAGGAAATTCTTATTAAGATAGCTTGACAGTCACCTGTAGGTTTGTTCCTATCTTCTTGTCTTTTTGACATTAGCTGATGCTTATTTCTTGGTTCTCTGTTTGTATTGTGTCGGCTGATTATTAGTCAAGTTTATCCATATGCTTTTTCCCAATTCAGAAATCGACGCGACAATAAGAACATTTTCTGTTTCGTCCAAACAACAAGTATTTATTGAAATAACGCAAATTTCCTTTGGTCATTACATAGAGGGTTTTTTTGGATTTCAATAAATGTTTAAAAGGGCTAATAAAGGTTTGTTATAATAGCTAATAATCTGGAAAAAAATATTTAAAAAAGCCCTGTCTGGATTCCAGTAGGTAACTTCTCTTGGATTTTCGCAACGTTTGCATTTTAATTTCAATTTATCGTTTCTGTCATTGAATTCTGATATAGCCCTACAATCGTTCCTTTTTGAAGAATTATAAACTTTCCCTAATTTCAAAACAAGATGCCTTACGTCTGTTGGTGTAATTAGAGAAAGTTGTTTATTTACACCTTTTTACCTCTAAACAACCGAGACAAGAAAATGTCAGTAAAATGATTGAAAGTGGCTTCTTTTAAATTATCCACTACTATCACTGGTTTTATGAGCTACAGACAAAGCAACCCTATCTCACATAGTTGTACTACCTTACTAATTTTGTTTCGCTTTGTCCCACACCACTTAGAACTTTAAATGTGTGCAACATTAACGTAGCGTTTAACGGCAAAAGCCAAAGGCTTTCTCTAAATTTCCGTCATCCTATCTCATTGTCTTTAAATGGACATTCCGTGAAAGTTCGTTGCCATCAGGTTAAAAGATATGACGTCGCAAGTAGCACGAAATCAGGTAAGGTGCAAGTTTTAGGAATTTTTTCGTAAAAGTAACTGCAAAATACATCAGTATTTAATTAATAATAACAAATAATAAACCTTAGAAGGTAACCTTCAGAAAATTATATATATTTATATATAACATAAAAAATAAAAAATATATTTGCAAAAAAATAACTTTTCGTAATTTTTTTTTTTTTAATGGGAAAAAAAAAGGGGAAAAATATCCTCCCCACCAGATCGCTAGAAAAAAAAAATTCTTGATGACCAGAAATCACCCACGTCCCCCCTCAAGAGTTAAATGGTTGGCCCCTGATAAATTGTGATAAGGGACGCTTTGCTTATACAATGCTTATTCATGGGCCCCTGCTGTTGATCTCATTCTTTTGAACCAATACTATAATCCTCCGAGTCATTCTCCATGCATTCAGTTTGTCTTTATCAAGTTCCGGAATCATTAAGATCGAACAATTATTAGAAATACTGAAATAAACGTCTGTACGAGAGGCGTAAGTTTCAAACACACACAAAAAAACTTTTTTTTTTCTTTAACTCATCGACTTATCGCTGGACATTTCGGTTGCGTAAAATCTGATTTAAAGGACAGCAAGTTAGTTTTATCGACTGCGTTGATAAAATAGATTGGCCACCGACCGTAGGGTCCTTTTGTATTTTGTATTCGGACGAAGAGTTAGGGCTAGAAAAGTCATGCCAGCTTCTCAATTCCCCCACGGTGGCCATGATGCTTTATCAGCTCATAATTTGTGAAAACCAAATATCGGTTTTTAAAATTCAGTCCATCCCTCAACTATCAGTTAATTACCTGGCTGTCAGATCTCAGCTATCAGTTAACTGCCATAACCCGCTCTTAACCTTTTAATATAGAGAATGGGGGAAAATGTTTCAGAGATCGCATCGTTTCAAAAGTAAACGTCAATATAAGTTTCATTTAATTTAGGCCTGCGTAGCATGCGGTTCGAATAGATGAACATCATCTTGCAGTGACCATGGTAAACATTTAGAGCAAAGTTTTTGCCTTATCGCCAAAGTAATGATAGCGCACTTATTAATTTTGTTTATTTGAAAAATGTTTCATTTGAAAAGATGATATTCAACGAAAGCTTGCAATTTTCCCCAATAAGTAACATAGCACGTACATGAATCATGAACTATACACAAAAACTGGCTTGCTTTAGACCGGTAAACGTCTCGGTGAAACAAAAAGGGCTGAATATTTAATATTAAGGTAGCAACAAAGCTGTGTCAACATAAGGAGTTTCTGTGCTTTATCCAGTTTTTGAATCATTTGAAATAGAAGGAAACGAGAAATTTCAAGATACAAACCCAGAAATAGCCCTGCAAGTGTTATCATGAACAGAACCTCCAAGAGAATACAAGATAGCTCCTTTTTGAACTGCAATTTCCTGAAAGATAACGAAAATTAAAAGATGGAAGTTTTCTTTACTATGACAGAGAAGTCATGAATTACAGAAATAGTTCATTTGCATTCGTCCTTAATTACCTCTTTTTTCCTGCCATCACGTACTCTTTCGTGGAAAATGTATTGAAATGTTTCTCAACTTGGTAAAAGCTGTTCTTTCAAATGAGTATGAAATTCGGCAGCATAATTTCAAGTTTTACAGTTTTTCCTCACGTACGTTAGCAATGAGAGGAAATTCTTATTAAGATAGCTTGACAGTCACCTGTAGGTTTGTTCCTATCTTCTTGTCTTTTTGACATTAGCTGATGCTTATTTCTTGGTTCTCTGTTTGTATTGTGTCGGCTGATTATTAGTCAAGTTTATCCATATGCTTTTTCCCAATTCAGAAATCGACGCGACAATAAGAACATTTTCTGTTTCGTCCAAACAACAAGTATTTATTGAAATAACGCAAATTTCCTTTGGTCATTACATAGAGGGTTTTTTTGGATTTCAATAAATGTTTAAAAGGGCTAATAAAGGTTTGTTATAATAGCTAATAATCTGGAAAAAAATATTTAAAAAAGCCCTGTCTGGATTCCAGTAGGTAACTTCTCTTGGATTTTCGCAACGTTTGCATTTTAATTTCAATTTATCGTTTCTGTCATTGAATTCTGATATAGCCCTACAATCGTTCCTTTTTGAAGAATTATAAACTTTCCCTAATTTCAAAACAAGATGCCTTACGTCTGTTGGTGTAATTAGAGAAAGTTGTTTATTTACACCTTTTTACCTCTAAACAACCGAGACAAGAAAATGTCAGTAAAATGATTGAAAGTGGCTTCTTTTAAATTATCCACTACTATCACTGGTTTTATGAGCTACAGACAAAGCAACCCTATCTCACATAGTTGTACTACCTTACTAATTTTGTTTCGCTTTGTCCCACACCACTTAGAACTTTAAATGTGTGCAACATTAACGTAGCGTTTAACGGCAAAAGCCAAAGGCTTTCTCTAAATTTCCGTCATCCTATCTCATTGTCTTTA